CAGCAGTCACATGCTGAAGTGTCCCTGGGCAAGACACTGAACTCTTCATTGCCTCCGATGTGTGTCCCACTGGTGTATGAATGTGACCTAGTCTCTATACATTCAGCTTATGTTACACACGTGGTAGATTGGAAATAATTACTGCTGGTGTGCAGAGATGTAGGGGACTTTATTCTGTAAACACAGTACATAATGCGCATTAATGATGACTGCCGTTAGCATTTTCCACATCGCTTGAGGTCAGCGCCGAATGCAACAGGTATCTACTATCTACTATCTACTATCTGCCTGATCAAAATTAATGCTGTGCCTCTTTTAAATGAGCTGCTGTCTGACAGCTACGTGTAAGTAAACATTTGTACCGTGCTCTGCTACAACCTTAGTAAAGTACTATAAACGAAAATATAATGAGAGGGGTGTCCTGTTTTCTGCTGATGCATTCACTTGTGTTCCGTATATAGCTCTAATAGAGTGCAGTATGAATGAGTAAACGAGGGCATAGGTTGTAGTGTAAAGTGCTTTGAGTATCTTGATTAGGTAGGAACGTGTTATGCAGTCCATTTACTAATTTTTAACCCCCCCCCCCCCCCCCCGCCACCACCACTCAGAGCTTTGCTCATTTTGTCCATGCCAGTGGTTCAGGTATGTGTATGGTTTTAAGTTCACGCTTCATGAACTTTGCAACATTAACTTTATCATTTGATATGCTAATTAACAAAAAATCATAAACTTTTAATTTGTAACTATTTTAGTTTAGAATGTAGCATGAAGCTGCATGACCCCTGACCCTTGGGTCATCTTCCAGACTCACCATGAACTGTGTTCTTTAAAGTTTCTTCTGGCTTCAATATTGTCTGATGTTTTTCACACATTCACCGTTCTTGGACACAGAGCCAGCTACAGTCTGACTAATGTTTACCTTATTTTTCTTATGCTTTTAAGAAAGAAAATCAAATCATTAATGAAGTTTGTTTTATTTGAATAACAAATGTGAACATGAATAATTTTGATTGTTGTTTTCAATCATTATAATGAAATCAGGTGAAATATTATAATATGTTTAACATAATTCTCTGTTCTGTTGTTCAGAAAGTGATTATTCCTTCAGAGACACCTGTGAAAATGTTCTTTGAGCTGAAAGCTGTTTTCTTCAGAGGGAAGTCACAATGTCCCTGAGAGTAGTCAAAACAGTCTTCTCAGAGCTGTTGTTATGCAAAAAAAAGATCCTTTGTTTGGAAAGCAGTTCGTCTTCGGCTCCAAACCAGAAAGTGGACCCGATCCTGGTGGTCGTCCCGAGGTCCACTCGTTCAATTCCTGAGCAGAAAAACATGTTGCTCAATTACAATTTGTTAGAAGAAAAATAGAAGTACCTACAGAAGATGAAGCTTTTTTCTCACAGCGAGACTCAAGTTCTCGGCTGAAGGTTGTGATGGACGGTGCACCTTCTCATCAGCTGTTGCCCTCACAGACCCTTGAAGCTGTCAGTGACAGTCAGCTACCTTTGGGCAGTTCCCGGCGAGTCCTCCTCATAGTGTATCCTGGTCTGATCCACCAGAGAACCACAGAAAGACGAGTGACCTGATGCCTTCAACGCTGGCCTGGTAAGGAGCAGAACCTGGTGACATGATGCAACTCTTGGTCTGGTTATGCCATTTTAAGCTGATGCAACTTGGTAAATCATTTCCTGGCTTGCAGTGATAATAAATGACTTTATCTGATCAGATTAAATAACTTCTTTCAACCAAAATCCAAAGTAAACTATTTATTAAAATAGTCAAACTTTGTCTAAATTCATGCGTGTATAAAAACTGAAATAATTCCTGCTCAAAGAGTGAATTTTGTCTCAGAAAAGAGAATTAAGCCTTGATTGATTTATTATTATTATTGTTTGTTTATTATTGTTGTTGATTCTTAGATTGATTATTTTTGTAATAAAACTTCAAATAAAACATTGGTCTTTTCATTCTGATGAATATTAATTTGTTATGGTATTGAACTCCCTGTAATTAACAGATTCTGCGGTGGAAGTGGTCTCCAGCTACAAGTACTTGGGTGTAAACATGAATGTCAACCTCAGCTGGAGCAACAACTCCACCAGCCTGATCAAGAAAGCTCATCAGAGACTCTACTTCCTCAGACGGCTGAGGCGAGCTGGTCTGGGAAGCTCAGTCCTCACCTCCTTCTACAGGTGTGCAGTGGAGAGCATCCTGTGCTCCAGCATCAACGTGTGGCATGGAGGCTGCACAGCTGCAGAAAGAAAAGCTTTGCAGAGAGTGGTGAAGGCTGCACAGAAGTCTGTTGGAGTCAGTCTCCCCACCATCACAGACATCTACACCTCTAGATGCAGGAAGAGACATGCATCATGAAGGACCTCACTCACCCAGCACACACAGTTTTTGCCCCACTCCCCTCAGGAAGGAGGTTGAGGCGCATTAAGTGTAGAACCACTAGACTGAGGAACAGCTTCTACCCTGAAGCTGTTAGACTCATGAATATCTAACCAGAATAATCACTGTGAAAAATCACAACATGTTGCTGCTGATCTGTTTCATGTTACTGTGATCTCATCTGTTCACACAGACTCATGTTCGTGCTGCTGTTAGGCGTATTGTTTTTATGCTATTAGTGCTCAGTGTATATTTTGTTTATCCAACATTTTTCAGTCAGGTCATCTGGACAGTTTTTTTTTTTTTTGTGTGCTGAAACGTTTCGCCTTCGATCCGGAAGGCTTCATCAGTCAAGGAAACACACAACAAAACTGATTCTTGCCCCAACAGCTTACTCCAAAGTGAAACAAACCAGTTCAGCTTGTGATAAGATGGTCTCTTTGGTACGCCCCTCCTCCATTGCCGGCCCTCTTCCTATTATTCTGATTATTGAGCATGGACTTTGTTGATATTTTGTTAATGTTTTTTTAGTTCATATCTTAGATCTTATTACTGTTTTTCTTTAACATTTTATTGTGGGATGTAACTGGGGCCCTGTGTACATAATCTTGTTCCACCACATGAGATGAGTATGACAAATAAATCTCTCTGAGTCTGTGCGTAATGAATAAATATAATATACAAGTTTCACTTTTTGAATGGAATTACTGAAATAAATCAACTTTTTCATGATATTCTAATTTCATGACCAGCAGCTGTATGTGTGGATGTCTTCTATATTGTTTGTCCACATATAATTGCCAGGATCCGTTACATTATTTTGCTATAAAAAAAATAAACGGTCTGTAATAGATGTGTTTCATTTAGATGTAAAAAGCAGTGATGTAAGCTTTTCTTCTGATGCCAGACATGAAATTTAAAACTATTAAAAAGCCAGTCAAAGTGACAGAAGAGACCTGGCTCTTCAAATCCTTGATGCACCTCAAATGTACAGCATAGATATCTATTACTCTTATTAATGAATATGTATTTGCTCTTGTTGTTTCTAGTGTTTGATGAGCACAGTTGTGCCATGTGTGCTGCCCTAACCCCCCAGTGTCTGGGCCTCCAATAACAGACTGGATGAGACCTTGTGAGCTGTCGGAGCTTAATTGTAAAATAGACATAAGGAGTAACTATGAGTAGGCCTAAAGTTGTGGAGAATACAAATGACAAGCTGGTTGCTTGTTCTAGTACTTGATCAGGCTAGTCAAATAAATAAACAGTGACTTTTTACCAATATGCCATGATACATGTAAACTACTGAAAAATCACAATTTATTTTGAATCAATTAAAAAAAATTGTATAAAATCAGAAAAATGGCTCTTAATTTTTTGTCTAGACATAATTCATCGTGGATTTAACATCACAAGATCATGTTACATGGAAGTTATTGAAGAAAAACATTGAAATTTAATTAAATATTAATATTAAAAATTAATGGGGGGGAGTGGGTGCAGACGATAGAGAAGGTGAGCCTGTGGTGAGAAGGTTCAACTCCTCGTGCCAACAACATTAAAAAGTGGGTGGGAAAGGTGAAGTCTCCACATCTGCCTCCACCCTCATTTGCCCCACTCTGTGCCCTTGAGCAAGGCCCTTAACCCCCGCCATCTGCTCCCCCAGCAGCCATAGATGACAGCTCTCTGCTCCACACAGAGCTGTGGTAGCTCTGTGGTTGTGTCAGGAAGGACATCTGGGCGTAAAAAACAAGTCTTCACGTGAGTAGGTTCACTAGAAGTGAAGTTCTCTGAAGACCGGAGCAGCTGAAAGAAGGAAAAAAATTAATATAAAAAATTACAAAATGCATTAAAATTTAATAAAACATGAATCATCTGGCCAGTCTAGTAGAGTAATTTAACACTAGTTCTGTGTTAGTGGATCACAAGACGATTGATTTGGAATTGAAAACGTGTAGGATTGGGTAATTTGTTGACGGTCCCTAAGAGAACCTCGGGTCAGAGGAGGCAGCAGACCGAGAGCAGCTCCCCGAAATCACACCGCCTGCACCGGCTCGACCGACAGGAAGTCACCGCTGAACCCGAGGAGTTTCAATATGTCATATCCAAGCTAAAAGCAACTTCACGGCGGCGCAGCGACTCATATCTGTCTATCTGTCAGGTTTCAGAGCCGTGGGCTCAGTCAGAACCGGATATGAGAGCACGGGGACAGACCAGGCGCGTTCACGTTCCAGAGAGGCGAGGCGCACACTCGCAGGAAATACGGTCTGACTCGGATTGAGCGCTTTTCTCGGATTAATTTTTTTTCCAGGACTCCGGAGGTCTTCAGACACAGTTGGGAGTAAGAGGTGACCAGAAGGACAGAAGTAATGGTCAAGTCTCAAGTTCCTCCGCGCGATCCTGACAGGTAATCATGGAGAACATCTGCGCACAGACGCGCGTTTGCATGTTGCACACGTAAAAGGTTGCTTCTCACATGTTTCTTCATGTCCCTTCCCCTTACCCCCCTACGAGTCTGTTGATGCAGCTTCCTCTCGACTTTCCTAATCTTGGATCTTTCTCCTGCTGGAACAGGAGGAGATAACCCTTGAGAAGGCACGAGGAGGAGACCCTGGGATGTCGGTCCGTCATGGCACCCTGATCGGTCTGGGCATCCTGCTTCTGTCTGCAGGATTCATCATGGCCTCCACTTCTTTCAGCCACTCAATGCTGTTAACTGTTCTTGGAATAACACTTGGCGTGGGGGGTATGGGCCTGTTGGTCACCGGAGTCCGCATGGCCATGAATAATGTCCAGGTGACAGTGCCAGGTCACTACCTCTTGCACCCCCGCACAGGGACACGCTTCAACCCGCAGCAGGCCCTGGCCATACAAAGGTACACATGCCCAAAAAGTGCGTGACATGAGAGTTTTCACACTGAAACTGAGCACAACCCTGGCTCTGATAAAGTTTACGTTGTGCGAGATGTGGATAAAAACAGCGTGCAGGGATTTGCAGTTCTCATTAACCCATGTTTTATTCATGCATGCAGCAAACATCAAAACTAACAAGTTGTGCAAGTAAAAGGAAAAAAGGCAATTTAAAATGTTACGGATGCAACAAAAAGTTCAAGAAGCGGTCGTGTTTACCACTGTGACACATCTCCTTGCTGGACTGGAGTTAATGTTCTAAAATCTGATGGTGCCTTTCCAGATGCACAAGCTGCCCATCGCATAGACACTAATGCACCCTCATACCAGCAGAGAGGTCTGCTCAGTAATCCAGGTAATGGTTGAGTCAGGCCTCTGGATGGATTCTTCTTTGCTGCAACTTCTTCTTCTGTCTGTGAACCTGCAACAAACAGTCTTATAGCACCTTAGTGGATCAACCAGTTTGTTGTTGACAGCCAGAATAGTTGTGCACATGCAAAAGGAGCACCATCAGCATAACAATTGATCGTTAGTGCCCTGATGGCTGCTTACTATTCACAGGTCAGAGGTCACGTCCAGAGGTCTTGACTCAACCTTGTTAGATCAGAGAGGAAGGCTTCTGCCACTGTCTCTCATCTTTTGTATGGGTGACCTGGTGTTGCTAAAGTATTCCACTCTTGATTTGGCTGACCATAAAACAGTTTCCTACTTTGCCTCAGTCCATTTTAAATGTGTTTGGCCCAGAAAGAAGTGCAGAGTTACTAGACAGTGTTCACATATAGCTTCTTCTTTTCATGACTAAGCTTTGACCTGCATTTGTGGACAGCAACTGTGTTTGCAGAGAATGACTTATGGAAGCGTCCTTGAGCTCATGCACTGTCTGGAATACAATCCGAACCATTCAAGGGAATTTTGGAAGAGGTTATGGATGTTTATCAGTTACTGATAATAAATGAATGTGTGAGTTAGGGAGTTGTTTTGTCTGCTCAGAGAGGAGCCTGCAGGCGCATGGAGCCTGCACACCTGACAAAAAAAAATGTTCTGCAAAAAATTCTAGAAACGTTTTGTCTTTAGGATGAAAAACGAAACGTTTCTACAATTTTGTTTAGTTTTTTGAATCCATCCAGAGGAACTGACTTAACTTTTTAGATTTTTCTACCTGGATTATTGAGCATGCATCAGGATATATATGTGCAGTTCATTACAGTAGTCCCTCACTACTTCACAGTTCATTTATTACGGATTCGCTCTATCACGGTTTTACAAAATAAGATTGGACATGACACACAATTGGCTGATTGATGGATGAGCCAAACGATCAGCATGGAATTTTTTATTAAAAATAAATTATTTTAAATTATTTAGCACCTCCTGCACATTTGTGCAGCCCACACTACAAGATACATTTCCTTCTGCAGCTGATCAGCTGTTCTCTGTGCAGAGCGGAGAAGTGGGCGTGGCCGAGAACAATTGCAGGTGGCAAAGGGCAGACAGGCAGGGAGCTGAACTCATGACATTCTGTGCTCTTTTAGAGCATTTACAGTTTATAAACATTGTTTAGAATATTGCAAGAGTGTGGGAAGGGTTTAAAATGCTTTTATATCAGAGTCAGAGAGATTTATTTGTCATTCGCATCTCATGTGGTACATGTGGTGGAACAAAATAATGTATGCAGGGTCCCAGTTACATCCAACAATAAATTGTAAAAGAAATCATTAATAACATCTAAGATATGAACTAAGAAAAACATAAACTAAATAACATTACACTAAGCACTAATAGCATAAAAACATTACATAGAACAGCAGCACGAACATGAGTCTGTGTGAGCAGATGAGCACGCATGAACACAGCAACATGAAACAGATCAGCAGCAACATGAAACAGATCAGCAGCAACATGATGTGATTTTTCACAGTGATTATTCTGGTTAGAGATTCATGAGTCTAACAGCCTCAGGGTAGAAGCTGTTCCTCAGTCTAGTGGTTCTACACTTAATGTTCCTTAACCTCCTTCCTGAGGGGAGTGGGGCCAAAAGTGTGTGTGCTGAGTGAGTGGGGTCCTTCAAGATGCAGGTGGCCCTCTTCCTGCATCTGGAGGTGTAGATGTCTGTGATGGTGGGGAGGCTGATTCCAACAGTCTTCTGTGCAGCCTTCACTACTCTCTGCAAAGCTTTTCTATCTGCAGCTGTGCAGCCTCCATGCCACACGTTGATGCTGGAGCACAGGATGTTCTCCACTGCACACCTGTAGAAGGAGGTGAGGACTGAGCTTCCCAGACCAGCTCGTTTCAGCCGCCTGAGGAAGTAGAGTCTCTGATGAGCTTTCTTGATCAGGCTGGTGGTGTTGTTGCTCCAGCTGAGGTTGTCATTCAGGTGTACACCCAAGTACTTGTAGCTGGAGACCACTTCCACCGCAGATCCTTTTATGTTCAGGGGGGTGTAGGTAGGCCTGTCACGATAACAAATTTTGCTGGGCGATTGATTGTCTCAGAAATTTTTGCGATAAATGATAATATTTTGAAATTTGACAATAATTAGTAATTATTGTCAAATTTAAGAAGAAATGTTGATTAATTTTTGTGTGTAGTAGCTTTTTTTTGACCACTGGATGACAGTATAAGACTGTTCGAACTCAAGGATGGATAGTGAGGGAGCAAGCAGTATGTCTCTTTAAGAAAAATGGGAGGGAGGCCTCTTGACGTGTCATGGACTGTCTCTTATCCTGTTTTTCGCTTCTCAAAATGGCAGACGCTCGGTGTGGTTTGAGCTCTTTAGCATAGCATTTTTCACACAAAGCTTTTAATAAAAAATCAGTAAACAAGTTCTCAGCTTCTTTTTGCAGAGAGAAACAACTTTTTAGACAAAGGCACGGGTTTCAACCATGAATTTTAGAGCTTTGACAAGACAGAGGTTTTTTCCCGAGGTCAGCCTGTTAGCTTAGCTCGTAGCTTTGCTTCTCATCTTAGCTGTTTTTAGTGAGGGCCACTGGCCGATAGTCATTCAGACCAGTCACTGTAGAGCTCTTTGGGACTGGGATGATGGTGGCAGTTTTCAGGCAGGTGGGAACTGTCTCCAGGGTAAGTGAGGTGTTAAAGATGTCGGCCAGCACGTCGCAGAGCTGATCGGCACATTCTTTCAACACCTTCCCGGGGATGTTGTCTGGGCCGGTTGCTTTGTGAGGGTTAATCCTCCTGAAAGTACTCCTTCTGCTGAAGTCACGCTGAGATGCTCTTCATCCAGTGGTGAGGTGAGTCTGGTGCTGGGTGGTCTGTTCAGGTCTTCAAAGCGTGCGTAGAACTTGTTGAGGGCATCAGGCAGAGATGGGTCTCTAGGGCATTGTTCGCTCCTGCCTTAATAATCTGTTATGCCCCTCCACATGCTCCGTGCATCTTGTGAGGTGAATTGAAAAATTATATACATATATAAAATAAACTACTTCTTATTACATGTACTTGTACTAGTATTCCTACTTCGCGGTTTTTCATTTATCATGGGTCTTCAGCGTACGGCTCCCCCGCGATAAACGAGGGACTACTGTATCATGAAAATGATTTCAAGAATCTGGAGAAATGTCTCCAGACCTGCCTTAACTTTTTAGAACTGTACAGGTCCTTCTCAAAAAATTAGCATATTGTGATAAAGGTCATTATTTTCCATAATGTAATGATAAAAATGAAACTTTCATATATTTCAGATTCATTGCAGACCAACTGAAATATTTCAGGTCTTTAATTGTTTTAATACTGATGATTATGGCATACAGCTCATGAAAACCCAAAATGCCTGTCCCAAAAAATTAGCATATTTCATCCCACCAATGAAAGACAAGTGTTTTTAATACAAAAAACGCCAACCTGCAAATAATCATGTTCAGTTATGCACTCAATACTTGGTCGGGAATCCTTTTGCATTAATGACTGCTTCAATGCGGCGTGGCATGGAGGCAATCAGCCTGTGGCACTGCTGAGGTGTTATGGAGGCCCAGGATGCTTCGATAGCGGCCTTAAGCTCATCCAGAGTGTTGGGTCTTGCGTCTCTCAACTTTCTCTTCACAATATCCCACAGGTTCTCTATGGGGTTCAGGTCAGGAGAGTTGGCAGGCCAATTGAGCACAGTAATACCATGGTCAGTAAACCATTTACCAGTGGTTTTGGCACTGTGAGCAGGTGCCAGGTCATGCTGAAAAATGAAATCTTCATCTCCATAAAGCTTTTCAGCAGATGGAAGCATGAAGTGCTCCAAAATCTCCTGATAGCTAGCTGCATTGACCCTGCCCTTGATAAAACACAGTGGACCAACACCAGCAGATGACATGACACCCCAGACCATCACTGACTGTGGGTGCTTCACACTGGACTTCTGGCATTTTGGCATTTCCTTCTCCCCAGTCTTCCTCCAGACTCTGGCACCTTGATTTCCGATTGACATGCAAAATTTGCTTTCATCTGAAAAAAGTACTTTGGACCACTGAGCAACAGTCCAGTGCTGCTTCTCTGTAGCCCAGGTCAGGCGCGTCTGCCGCCGTTTCTGGTTCAAAAGTGTCTTGACCTGGGGAATGCGGCACCTGTAGCCCATTTCCTGCACACGCCTGTGCACGGTGGCTCTGGATGTTTCTACTCCAGACTTAGTCCACTGCTTCCGCAGGTCCCCCAAGGTCTGGAATCGGCCCTTCTCCACAATCCTCCTCAGGGTCCGGTCACCTCTTCTCGTTGTGCAGCGTTTTCTGCCACACTTTTCCCTTCCCACAGACTTCCCACTGAGGTGCCTTGATACAGCACTCTGGGAACAGCCTATTCGTTCAGCAATTTCTTTCTGCGTCTTACCCTCTTGCTTGAGGGTGTCAATGATGGCCTTCTGGACTGCAGTCAGGTCGGCAGTCTTACCCATGATTGCGGTTTTGAGTAATGAACAAGGCTGGGAGTTTTTAAAAGCCTCAGGAATCTTTTGCAGGTGTTTAGAGTTACG